AGTCCATCATAAGAGAGAAATTGGGAGATACAATGAGCAGTGGATAGTACAACGACGCTTCCCTTTACTAACTGCATAGGGGCTGAGGCTCAATAGTGTTAGGTATATCATTTGCAATAGTGAGCTCAATGGGCTTAGTAGTGAAGGTAGTACCTAAATTTGGAGCTGTAAAAGAAACCAGGATTGGCTTGGACTGCTGAGAACCAAAATCAACTTGCCTCCACTATCTGTGAAACACCCTCAATTCCCTACACTTCCGACAACCCTCTTCACCACTCTCCCCTTTAGTGATTGGAATAGGTAACTGAACTTCTGGGGCTGAATTACCCACCTCACTACTCTCCCCCTGAGGAGAAACCTTATGATAGTAGAGCATATCCTCAAAGAATGCCACATCCATAGATACAAACCGTCTATCCTCCAAGTTCAGACTTGGATTGGCTGGCCTCGAGTTTTGTTCCCTACCGATGGAGCTCTCTTCTCCCCTTCAATTTTCTAGTTCAGCTACATATTTTGAAGGAATAGACATGAGGTTCAATGTTGTAGCATCTTCTTCCTCTAAAAACAGTTGTTTTGTATTAAAGCTCTCTTCATCTTGTTGAAAAGGATATTTCCCCAAAGAAACACTGTTGATACTTGAAGTTTCTATATTGCCAGAATCACATTCCTGCTCACTCGAGAGTGCTTCATTTTCCGACTAATCTTCCACTCTTTCCGGCGCCATTCAATGGATTCTAGGGTTCCGATGCTCTGGGGACAAGTAGTTGGCCCCAAACGGCTTCCACTGCAAGCTGTTCAAACTTCTGTTCTGCCCCTAGTTCTTGGAACAAGAAGGAGCTCTCGATGGGGACGACAATGGATCTAATTTTCCATCTATCGCCACCCCTTTTAGAACCCCCACGTGACTTTTAGACAAGTCACCTGATTTTGTCCTCTCTTCTAAAACAGCCAGCCCATTTTTCCGGCCCACTCCACTCTTGTCTACTACTCCAATTCTTGACTTTGATAAAAAAAGACCCACCCCTTCTCTAACTTCTTGGACCCTTTTCCTTTTTTCAACCGGCCCAATCAAACCCATCAGCCTAGCCAGGTTCATCCTCTCGTCAAGAAACTCCACTTGGCCATTTAATTGTGCCCCTTCCTCATTGGTGCCCACATGTCCTATCAATTCAAATTTTGAAACTTCATATTCCACCTGTCCTGGCCTGTCAACAATAGGTCTGACTTCCTCCTTTTCCTTATCAATTTTCCTATTTAAGGTAACTGACTGCAACCTCTATCCTGTTCCTTATTTCCATCTCTCAGTGCCTCAGCATAGGACCTACCACCAACCTGTGTATAGCCAGTACCTATTTGCTTAATTTTCAAGGTTTCCTTCTCAAAGATTTCCTTATGCATGTAAGTTTCTGAGGAATCAGAGCTAGCCCCTCTCAGTTTGCCACATAGCCAATCTCTTTCAACCCCTTCCTCTTCTCTCCTTCAGGCTCCAGCCCAGAGGTCTGCTTCAATGGTTGTCATTAGCCAAACTGAGAAGAACACACCACCATTGGCTACACTAATCTTCCTTGGAATTTCTTCAGGGAAAACACAGCTGAGGCTAATAGCTGCAGAACGCAGATCCTTAACAAAGAATCCATCTAAATGTGCCTTGCACAGAACTGCAATTGCTTCAAAAACTTCAGCCTTCCAAAGATGAAAAGGCAGGACCAACAGCCAGACTATAACTGAATCTTCTACTGACAAATCCTTTGCATTAGCCGAAGGAGACCATCTTGACACTGTAACTGCACCACACTCCATCTGATAGCAGACTGCATCAATCTCTAGCTTAACATCGGACGCCTCCAGCAGTGTTTTACAACTCTCAAATAGAGTTAAGATAGTTGTGCTTTTCACTCTCAGGTTTTTTCACCATCTCCTTCGCTACCATTTTCCAGTCCCTTGGTGGGCTACTTGTTTCTACACTAGCCACTTTTCCCATTCCTCCTTTGAAGCATTGACCACCATCCTCCTTTCACATGAAGCTTCACCTACTGCCAGGGCCCCTACCGCCTCCTTTGAATTCTATATGCTTCTCTTCTGAGTTCAACGGTTCTGGAGCTTGTGAACCAGTTGCCAATGTTAGAAAATCTTTTAAAGTATTGAGATCTCCTTCCATCCCTCACCTTTCCTACCTTCTGGGAAGCACACCAGCTGTTCTCCTCAACCCGAAAAACGTAACCAACATCAGGAATCTTCCTTTGGCATTTCTTCTCCTTTCTGCCACATACCTCCTGCCTCCGTCTTTTATAAAATCTATTTTTTGGATCAATAACAATCAACTCTATTAAAATAGAAGGGAGCAATTACAAAATATAGGGGAGGTAAAATGACTTAACTCCCCATCGACAAATTACACAAAGAGATAAATTAGAAATTAGCCCAAAACAAAGACACCCTATTCACCCCTTGCTTAGCTAACCCATCAGCAAAAGAGTTGGCATTTCTTTTCACCCAGCTATACTTCACCTCAATGTCCCTAGCAAACCATTTGAACTTTTTCCTTTCATTACTGTAAGTCCACATGGTACTGTTGTCTTCCTTTAGCCATCTAACCACCGTCTCTGAATCACCTTCAAGGACCAATCTTCTTATGTTCAATTGTCTTGCTCTTTGGATTCCTTCCAAAGCCACAGAGATCTCAGCCCTGAGAGAGTCCCCTTCTCCAATTGGGCCTGAATACAATGCCAGAATTGACCCTTCCCCGTTCCTGAAGACACCCCCAATCCCAGATGGCCCTGGATTTCCATCTTGTATAAAATCTTTGCAATCTTCCTTCCAATGTTTCTTCATTGCTTTGTCCAGAAACTCCACAAACCAAAGCAGCACTTTCTCACCTACCAGAAACACCATGACAATCTTCATTTCTCTGACCTTCAGAGCAGTTTTCCCCTGCACCTTACAGCTCTCGAACAGAAATTTCTTTGCCTCAGATTTGATTACTCTTCTCCATTTTGCTTCAATCACAAAACCACCCTCCGCACCAACACTCTTCTCCATTGCTTCCTCAGTATCTTATCAAATTTATTGTCCCCATCTTAAGGGCCTGGGCAGTTCTAGGCATCCTGAAGGCTCCATATTGAGTTTTACTAACTATTAAAATAAAAGATTGCTTCTCTCTGTCCAAAACGAATATAGAGTAGACAATAAAAGCAGCTCAAGGCTGACAACCATCATCAATTTACTGGTACAGCTGATAGATTTACATCAGTGATACACTGATGTTTATCTGTAAAATCAAAACATGATTATCTGTAAAATATGTCTGTGTTAGGTACAATAACATGTAAACATACATAATTACATGCATTAATATATTTATAATAATGTCATATATAAATTTAATATGTATGCATGCTTGTATGAATGGACTTAATCTAGGGAAAGCCAGAATTGGGCCAAAGTAAGAAAAACCTACAATCTGGGTCCTTAAGTCTTTCATGCCAGGCAATAAATAGCCATCTGTGACAAAGGGGGAAAGAGGAGACAAGAAAGATACAAAACTGTTTTTCACACTTTGGTTGTGTAGAAAAGAAATATGAAGAAAATTAGATCCTAGGTTTTCTCCTTTACACCTTAAAATTTGTCTTAAAAGGTAGAGAAACGGAAGAAAAAGAAACAGGACTTGAAAGAAAATAAGCCAGGTACCTCCTTTATGAATTATGATTAAAACTTCTTTCATCTTTGATAACCCAAGGAACAATATATACAAATTATCAAAAACAAGGGGCCAGATCTACAAAGAAACATCAGGTTTACCCAATAAGAGTAAGAATGACTTTCAACAACTCAAATCTGCATTTATCTCAACTATTTGGCATCAGCCACACAAATCCTATCCCACCATTTTGCTATATCGAGAGACATTTTTTGTCAAATTATAACCTTTTAAATCATTTTTTTACCACATCAGACCATATATTCTTTGATCTTCCCCTTGCTCTTTTAGAGGCGTCCATTTGTACCAATTCACTCCTCACTGGTTTGGTCATTGGTCATCTATAACATGAAAAAACCATCTTAGTAGACTTTCCCTCATCTTGTCACTAATTGGAGCTACTCCCAAGTCCTCTTAATGTGCTCATTATGTCATTTCTAGTCTTGCCATTCATCTATCTCAACATCCTTATCTCAGCTATACTTGTTTATTGAACATGTGGTGTTTCTTGTTTGCTCAACGCTCTGTTCCATATAGCAATGCTGGTTTTAATGTCTTATGAATTTTCCTTTGAGTTGCATTGGTTTATACTGGTAACATAGTACACAAGATGCATCACTTTATTTCAACCACCTTGCTCTAATGCCATGGGCAACATTCTCCTTGTTTTCTCAAAACCTTCAGTTCCCTTTAAGAGTTCAAAGATTCATGAAATGGGTTAATCCACTATACTCAATTCATTTTTTCCTCCTTTTATTAAGGTAGAAAATATTACTATGACAAGCATAGAAACGTCGCCAAACCCCTTTGGTGGTGTGAGCTTCATTCTAACTGCTTTTCCTACTTGTTTTCCCCTAATCATTACCTTTTTCTAAAAAAAAAAAAATCAAATTTTCATTTTTTTCCAGTAAAGAATCAAATCAATCTTCATAAGTTTGAACGTTTAAGGCAACTTATCCTAGATAAGAACTGTAACTGTCAACTGAAATACAAAACCAGCTTCCGTCAGCTGCATGGATGCCTTAAAAATATTTCAGAGATAATGGAATATAGAGTGGTTGGTTAAACAATAAAACCTATATGATTTCAGATAGATAAGATTCCTAATCATAAATCAGTCTTATGGAATAACCAAACAAGGGGTGAACAGATGCAAGATGCCAAATGCGGGTTTCAATCCCCAAGGGGGGTCATTACAAAAGAATATTGATTATGGTGGCTAGCCAAGATAAAAGCTCTTATATTTTACTGATAAAATATCCTAACCATAAAAAGAAAAGAGAAATATAGTTTCTGATTATACCTAGTGCTTGGCGGTCAGTCTGAGCCTCCAGCCAATGCTGCTCAAACTGGATGTTATAAAGAGATTCCTCTAATTTCGCAATCTGTTCCAGTAAGGGGTTGAAGTGCTCTACAGACAAAGACATAGACATCAGAAGTATATTCTTCCAAACTTAAGATGCACAAACATTAAATGACGGAACCTACAGACACGATGCTCTTACCATCTTTAGCATGCTGATCGAAGTAAGTAAAATGGCCAACATGTATATCAAAGTCTATGGTTTCATGATAAGGAGACTTGTTAGTGAAGCAGAAACTGTGAAGCCCTTTCTTGTGAGCTGTAAACTCAAACTTCTCACTTGTCTGGTCACGAGAGTCACGAATTTGATCACCAGAAGGCCCCTTCACCTGATTATCTCAATATATTCATCTGATCAGGAAGTGAATGTTTGTGGCTACTAAAGAAGCAATGGAATACAAAGCAAAGGAAACTTGCAAAGAAAACCTAGAGTGAGTTAACTGTCCTAGCATATTGATTTAACAGTTTATACCCAAGGCCTACCTTTTTTCGATGGATGATTCCTAAGACCTACCTTCCCAAATTATAAAGAATTCTACATACAGGATTTTGCACTCTTGAAACTCCACATATTTGAATACTACCATTGTCATACCTTATTTCTTCTTAATTAAAATATAAACTGGCTATGCACCAAAATGGGACAGAGCTGAGAACTCTAATTCAAACCTTGGGTTGAACTAAGTACACCCGATGGCAATGAGTATTGATTTCTGATTTTGCTTCCTTGAAATCAGTGTTGTAGATTTCCTCTCATTCCCTTTTAAACTGTGAGCTTCAATTAATATCATGCTTAGATCCCCATTATCATTTTCCCTAAAGCTATTTCTGCAATGACATAATTTTTATGTTCTTTTTCTTTTATGCATTCTGATTTGCAAATAACCTTATTATATGTGCCTGAGGTTATTCACTCTAAAACATCTTTGTTGAGGGTTTCATTAAACCATCTTTTAAATTACATATTTTCCTCTTTCTATCAATCAATTATTTAAACTAACAAGAATTCATGAGAGAGAGATAGAGAGATAGAACCAAGTTTAATGGGCATAAAATACATGTCCATTCCTCCCAAGTTTCAAAAAATCTCAAAAAATTGAAAAATCATGAGACATCAGCATAGAATTCTATCCCAGTGACCAAAGGCACCACCTAGTTTCCAGCCTCCAAATGATCAACCAAGTTACCTGATTAATGTTTTGTGTCTTAAAAAGATATAAGGTGATTTAAGCTTTCCCTCTAATGGGCAACTCTGAGCAAGCTAGAAAATCCAATACCATTTACACCAGCAAATCAATAGAGCACTTTCTAGGTGACTCACTCCCCCAATCTTTCCATAGTGTTCAAAACTAAATCCATAGAATGCCATATTGAAAGAAGAATCACCACACCTTTCATCATCTAGCATCCCATAAAATTATCTTAATTAATGGGTTGCTTTGTTAAAGCTTCATCAGACCTTCAATATTTCATCTGCTTCAGGAATTTTTCTCTGCCATTCCACTCTATTCAGTGCCATATCTGTCATTATGAGACCTTAAACCATTTCTCACTACTTCAGTTGATGTCCTTTCAGTTTGCCCCTAGCTCTTGAGTTTGTAGACCCTTAAACTTGTAACAAACCACTTCTACTCATTGGTGCAGTGGTGCTGTAGATGATCTTCTCTGAACGTGACTGTGACCAGACCATCTACCCCTCATTGGTGCAGTGGTCCTTTCAGTTCATTTCTGATCCTGTCATTGCTAGTTTCTCACCTATCCATCTCAACATTCATAATTATGCTATACTCATCTTCTAGACATGTCTCTTAACCCACAAAGCTCTGCCTCTGTACAACATTTTTCTTTCTGATCCTATCATTTCTGATGACCTATCATTTCTCACTTATCACCTATCATTTCAGATGACCTATTGTAGGTACATACAGCTTACTTAGACCCTCAAAGAATACTCAAACACCAAGAACACCACCACAGAAATACTTGCGAAGAATCAACAACCAACCCCGTGCTGCGGTTAACTTACATTCTAACCGCAATCACTGCGATAAACCCGTAGCATGCTAAATAGACCTCAGAAAGATCCGCCCACAAAGACATGAGCACGCTCGACTATGCGATGAGGTCACACCCACAACAGATCGGGAGGATAACGAACCAAACCCGCGGCGAGACCCGAGCGTGTACCCAAACACACGAAACCGTTACAAAGAAATGCCTCACGAATCGTCACGTGACGCCAATGAACATCGACTTTTAGACGGTGACGTCAGTATCCCCACGTAGGATTAGTGATGGTGCACGGAAAAGGTAGTAGCCCTCGTGAGTAATGAAGATCTTGGGGATAAGGAAAGCTGATCCCCAAGGATATCTTCATGAAACACGTGGCTACACCCAATAGCGTATCCAATAATTGCCAGCAAGCAGTATATTTCCTTTCCCGATATAAAGTGAATGTCCTCGTCTCCTACCTTTTGGGGTCCCAGCGCTTCCTCCATAAATACGAGAGTCCTCTTCGTGGTTAGGAGACAGAGAAATCTTAACCAGCTCACTACAGGCATCTTCAAACATACACACAACTCTCTCATTCCCCTTCGAACCCACTGCTCCCTCATAGACCTTCCTTCGTCCTTCGAAGAGAGAGACCGCTCTCCCCTACTCCTTACACCTATCATTTATGATCCTATCATTTCTTGAGTGAAAAAATCCCCTTAAGGAAAAGTAGATAAACAATATCAACTATTTCAGTAGAATAGCTATAATAGCTTTTATGAAAATATACCCCCTTGTACAGTATACCTAATTTATATTTTGTACTTCAAAATCATTTTCATTGATAATCTGCAGCCATTGACTGTCCATATGGCCATGCCTAAAGCTGTAAAAACTCCTTTAAAATATAAATCATGACTCTTTCCACTTTTCTAGTCACTTCCTTCTTGCTAATAATTTCCACCCAACATAATGCAAAGTACACTAGATTCCTCTTAGCCTATTTATAAAAAAAAAAAATCTTCTTATTCTAAGTGGTGTTCTATCACATGGGGCACCAGATGCACCCCTCCATTTTGTTCGTCCTTCTCTGATTCTATGTGTAACATCCTCCTCAATCACTCCCTTGTTATAGATTACCAAACCAAGGAAACAAAAGAGGTCACATTTTGATGTGTCTTGGTCTCCAATCCTAAATGTACAATTTCTGGATCTCTCCCATAAAATAATCCCAACTTTCCAGGCTGGTATAATACTTTATGTCAACAACTTTAGTTTTATATCAACTGAGATCTGTCTTATTTGAGTCCTGAATCAAGTCAAAGTCATAATCCTAGAGTTAATTAGGATTTATCATGTTCCTAGTAAGTGTCTCGGTATATTTCTTAGTTGGTTTTGAGGTAGGAAAATGCCAAAGGTTAGGTTTGTATCCAGTCTACCCGTCCCAAGACCCCAGACAGTTGGAACCAACATTGGGCAATGGCCTGTTTTTAGAAGTGGGAAAATAAGGAAAATGGATGGGACAATCTTCCCCTTTGAGCCTATAAATACATCTAAGCTCCTCTGTCTTTTATATCAGATTATAAAATTTAAGTTTCTGATGTTGGAGACATTCCAAATTTTTTGTTGATACAGATTCCTTTAGAAGCTATTAGGTGCTGATTCTTGAGTTGCTTTCATCCTTTTTTTCTTCCTTATTTTTCAGGCCAATCCTACATCATTTTCTCCTCTGCTTCTCTGTTTTCAACAATAGCCTTCGACCAGAATCCGAGTAGTTCAAACAATTGAGTGGTGCAAAGTGGTTGATATAATCTATCAATTGTTATGCTCAACAAAGCTTTATCCCAACAATTTGGGCTTACTACAAACCATCAATTGTTATAGGATTGAAAAATACTTTTGTTGAATTGTTTTTTTTAGGTGATATGAGAGAAATAAGGAGTTAGTACAATTGAAAATTACAACCAAAGAGAGAGAAACCCTCTTATTTCTCCCCAAATTATGCAGTTATAATGGGTTGAATCAGTCTCCTGAGATAATGACCATACCACAAAGCAACAGTTTTTCAATGAAAACCTAAATTATTTTTTTATAAAATTTATTATTCAAGGAATCTGGAAAATTAAATATTCTGTCAAGAACAGTAATATGTAATCTGGAAAATTACATATATACATATATATGCATGTATATATATATACACACATATATACGTATATCTATACCTGATTTCTCTTTTTTTTTTATGAATGATAATAAATTTATTAATTCAGAAGCTAATTTAGAGTTGTGAATTTTTTTTTGATGAATGATAATAAATTTATTAATTCAGAAGCAGATTTAGAGTGAATTCATACAACATCCCAGGGAGAGGCGCGAGCTGCAGCCCCTCCTTGAATCTTACAAGTAAACTAGGAAAGAAAAGCAAGAATCACAACTGAACCC